GCAAAGTGAGGAGCAACTGCTAAGAGCCTGGAGGGGTGGGGCATGGGAGACACACCAGGTGTATTTGAGGAACAGCCAGTGGGGCTGGAGCAGAGTGAGAGAAAGGGGATAATAGGAGATTACTTACACGGAGGCCAGACCCTGTAGGACCTTGCTGGCAATTATAAAGTGAGCAGAAGAGTGACACAATCTGACATACTTTTCAAAGATGACTCTGGCTACTCTGTTGAGAATTGACTCCAGGACATAAGGGCAGAAACAGAAACCAGTTAGGACCTACTGAAATAATTAGGCAAGAGTTTGTGGTGAAGTAATGGAGAGGTTAAGAAATAGTCAAGATTTGCAAACATTTTGAAGGGGCAGCAGGTTGGAAAGCGAAGAGGATGAAGATTTTAGTTTCCAGTACATTGAATTCAAGGTATCTGTGGGACATCTGGGTAGACAGCACAGTTGGTTTCATGGGTTTGCACCCAGGAGGGTGAGGATCTAAGCTGGAGACTGACTGGGGAGTCATCAGTATATAGACAGTAATAAAGCCTTAGGAGTAAATGAGGGAGCAGGTATAGGTTAGTAAGAGAAGAGCATGGAGGGCAGCCAACATTTAGGAGATGGAAATTGGAGAAGTCTGTGGTTAGAAAGATATGAAGAAAATCAGAAGAGTATGATGTTTAAGTCAAGGGGAGCCGTCTAGAAAGGTGAGAAATGAGTGGAAGCCTTTAGATTATCCTGGAGGTCATTGGTGAGGAGGCCAGAGAAGGACGCTCCAACAGCTCCAATCTAGACCTTGTTTCTTTGCACTGTCTTTAGAGCATGGAATTGAGGATTAGGGTTAGAAAGCCACTTTCTCCTTGTTTATTCACTCAGACATGCATGCATGCGTCATTCATTCAGCATAAGACCTCCCATGTAAGGGGATGTAAAGTACTAAAAGACACATGCTGTGTCCTTGAAGGGCCCACATTAACACCTCCACCCCCCAATCAGGAATAAGGAGATTGAAGGTCCTGAAACAGAGAAGCTCACTGGTTTTATGGAAGGATCAGGGACCCATGGGTCATTCTGAACTGAGTTTGAATCTCAGTTATACCTTAAAAAAAATTTCTTTTTTGGCTGCATTGGGTCTTTGTTGCTGCGTGCTGGCTTTCTCTAGTTGCAGTGAGCTGTGGCTACTCTTTGTTGCAGTGCGCGGGCTTCTCATTGTGGTGGCTGCTCTTGTTGCGGAGCATGGGCTCTGGGGCGCGCGAGCTTCAGTAGTTGTGGCTTGTGGGCTCTACAGCACAGGCTCAGTAGTTGTGGCACATGGGCTTAGTTGCTCCACAGCATGTGGGATCTTCCTGGACCAGGGCTCGAACCCATGTCCCCTGCATTAGCAGGCAGACTCTTAACCACTGTGCCACCAGGGACATCCCTACCATTCAGAACATAATCGCTCATGATTCTGAAATCCATAATCTCCAGCACAAACCTCCCCTCTGAGTCTGTATATACAATTGTCTCCTCTAGGATTTCCACTGGGATAGCTAAACCAACTCAAATTTAACTTAGAACTATTTAAAATGTCCCCACCCAAACCTAATCCTCTCCAACTGTCTCCTTCTGGGTAAATGGCACCACCACCCAGCCTCTTGTTGAGGCCCAAATCATAAGTTCAGAAGGATGTACTATATATATATATATATATATATATATATATATATATACAGTGATAAGCACATCTTGATCCCATTCCTACCCCATTACTATTATGTGTTGATTCCTCTTCACCCTATGCCTAAATCCTATCTAGTCCAATTGGCTCTACTTCCAAAATATATCCCAAATCTAGTAGCTTCTCACAACCAGCTTCAGGTCCAAACTCCTTACCATGACCCTGTGTGTTCTGGTCCCTACCTGGCTTCTCCCTCACCGCAGGCCTTCTTTCTGCCCTGGAACATGGCTGATTGATTCATCGCTTTTGCATTTGTTTTTCCTCCTTACTGAAGCACTCTTTTCCCAGGTTGTCACTTGCCCAACCCCTCCTGAACATTCAGGTCTCAGCTCAAATGTCACTTTTTCTGAGAGTACTGTGTGAGTCCCGTACTCTCTATCACAGAAATTATCCTACATATTTAATTTTTTAAAAAAAAGTTTGGTACGTGTTCACCAGGGAATCCCCAGGGCCTAGAAAAATGCCTGGCACATGAGGCTTTTGTTAATTTAAATATTTGTTAACTGACCGGTTGACCCCAGTTTTTTAAGCCTCCATCTCCTTATTAACTGAAGAGAGATAATGCATATTTTGCTTGGTAGTTCTAAGTTAGAAATGTAGGGAAGGGAATTCCCTAGTGGTCCAGTAGTTAAGACTCCGTGCTTCCACTGCAGGGGGCATAGGTTCGATCCCTGGTCAGGGAACTAGGATCCCGCAAGCCACGAGGCCTGGCCAAAAATAAATAAATAAATAACGTATTTAAAAAAAAAAAAAAAAAAAATATATATATATATATATATATATATATAGGGAAAAGTATTGAGGATATCGGGAAATTGCTGCACAGTGAACCTTTGTAATTCACTGCTCAGTTCCATCTGACAGATGAGCAGACTGACAAACCCTCCTTTCCCTCTCAGGTAAAAAAGAGCTATGGGTGAAGAGGCCACAGAAAGAAGTGGTCCCACCCCGCAATGTTATCATCTCCCTTTTAAGAAGCGCGGAAACTCAACCCCCATCCCCAATGTTTAAGGTAACCGAAGTTAGTGCAAGTCACATGAGGCCCACGGCTTGCCCCGCCTTAAAGAGGCGGAGCCTCAGTTTGGAGACCAATAGCAGGAACAATCTCCGGAACAGCCCCCAACTCCAGATAGGGAAAAGGGGAGGAGCCGGGCGCCCCAGCAGCTGTAATAGCACTTCCGGACAATACTCCCCGCCCCCTCTTCCCCCCTTCCGCGTCTGCTTATTTCTCCGGTGCCGGTGGGCAGAACCAGCGGGTGCTGATTACAGGCGCCGCTGTTGCGCTGCTGCTTTCTCCTCTCCTCCCCCTCCCAGTCTCCCCGCCCTTCCCTTGCAGAGTAGCGGGACCGGCCTTGATGTAGGGACACCACCCTCTGCCTCTCTCCGCCCTAGCTCGGGACTCCGGCTCACCGCAGCCCGTTGCCCGCCCGCGTCTCCACCCTGCCAGCCGCACTCTGCTCCGAGCCCATTGTATCCTCCCTATCCCCGGGCTCAGACTCCGAGGCCAGGCCGTGGCGGGAAGATCGGGGACCTCTGTGCATCCCTCCAGCCGGTCCCGCGAGTCGGGGCTCCTCCCCCGCTTGCCGTCCTCGCAACGGTGCGGTAGCTGCGAGGGTGCCCTTCCCTCCCTGCTAAGGCTGAGACGGCCGACTGGCGG